ACAAAATCTCCGCCCCTAAAGGCTGGATCTTCATACCATACCACCATCATTACCGTCTCCAGTGAGCCACGCCACAAAGATTTCATCTTTGCTTGGTGGTAAAGGTCGCGGTGCGCTGCTGTTCATGGCTGGCTTCTTCTAGAAGTGGGGCGCATCCAGCCGGCCGGAGTCCGCGGACTCCCCGCCCCAGCCCACACGCCAGCCCCCTCCCAGGCAGCAGCGCTACATACAAACCGCTCAGGAATTCCCCCCTCGATTTTCTTTTATTTTCCTCCATAGCCGTCGCCGCCGCCTCCTCCGCTGAATCTAGCTCTCGCCGCCGGCCGCCCGCCCCCGAATCAGCCCGCTCCGCGGCCGTAGCTAGGCGCCATGGGGAACTGCTGCGGCGCGCCGTCGACGCAGGGTGGCGGCCGGGGGAAGAACAGGAGGAAGCCCAAGGCCAACCCCTACACCGTCGCGTACAACCGCGGCGCGGGGGCGCCGCCGGCGCGGGCGGGGCTGGTGGTGCTGCGGGACCCCACGGGCCGGGACCTGGACGACAAGTACGTGCTGGGCGGCGAGCTCGGCCGCGGCGAGTTCGGCGTCACCTACCTCTGCACCGACGCCGCCACGGGCGCGCGGATGGCCTGCAAGTCCATCTCCAAGCGCAAGCTGCGCACCCCCGTCGACGTCGAGGACGTGCGCCGCGAGGTGGAGATCATGCGCCACATGCCGCTGCACCCCAACATCGTCAGCCTCAGCGCCGCCTACGAGGACGAGGACGCCGTGCACCTCGTCATGGAGCTCTGCGAGGGCGGCGAGCTCTTCGACAGGATCGTCGCCCGGGGACACTACACCGAGCGCGCCGCCGCCGCCGTCACCCGCACCATCGTCGAGGTCGTCCAGGTAAACAAGGCAGCTTGCTTCTCTTGCTCGCTAAGCACTAGTACTGCTTGTTATGCCATATATTAGTTCAGTTATGAGAAGAATTGTCGGCTATTGCTCAAGCTATGTTAATAGTTTTAGTTGCTACCACTGGCAGCTTTGTGTTCATGAATTTAGCATAGATTAGTAAAGAAGAGGAACTCATGTTAGCTTTCAGCTTAGCTGAGCTTCAGAACTTAATTTAATTGTTCAGTTGTTCCGGATCGATAACCTGGTAAACCATGGGGATTGGTTTCATTTGTGTTAAACGTTTAACCGAACTGGCAATTAGTGAAATTGCTTTAAGGAGCATCCTGATTTCTAAGCATATGTTCATCCAGCCTTTGCATCATGAGTTTGCATCAGTTTCTTGCATCATTGGATTGTTTTGTGACCTCCGAGTATCTGACATGTACTCTTGCTTTGCTATTCTATGGTGACAGATGTGCCACAGAAATGGTGTCATCCATCGGGACCTCAAACCGGAAAACTTCTTATATGCAAACAAGAAGGAGAGTTCTCCTCTGAAGGCAATTGATTTTGGGCTATCTGTGTTCTTCAGGCCTGGTATGCTCAGCAGACACCTGGTGCTCAGTAACATACCTTTGCACCTTATGATCTAGATTTGCTAAAATAAGCGATGTAGATCTTCCCATTTTTCTTCTCTGATCCACGTAGTAATTTCAAGCCTCTCAAAGCAAATATTAAAACTCGTATTAAGTGATATAATAGATTTCCCACTGTATTTTAGTGCTTGATTTCCCATCCCTGCAAAATGGAGCTGATTTTGTTGATACAGTTTGTTGAGAATATATGCATGACATTTTTGCCGCAGAACTGAAGGGTTACTCATCATCGATGATGGCTTCTGTATGCAGGTGAACGGTTTAGCGAAATCGTAGGCAGTCCATACTACATGGCCCCAGAGGTTTTGAAGCGCAATTATGGCCCTGAAATCGATGTCTGGAGTGCAGGAGTTATACTTTACATACTTCTTTGTGGTGTGCCACCATTTTGGGCAGGTACTTACCTTCCTGGAATAGACTGAGGGCCTCTTTGATTCGTAGGATTGCAAAAACACAGGAATAGGAAAAACGTAGGATTGAAATGGCATGTCCATTGGATCCCTATAGGATTTGAGTTTGTTTGATTGTGGCATGGGGAAAGCAAAGGATTTCTTCCAAGAGGTTGGAGTGGATGTTAGAATTCCTGTGAAATGCAGTACAAATAAATCCTTAGGAAAAAATCCTACAAGATTCAATCCTACGAATCAAACGACCAACGTAGGAAAAATTCCTAAGGATTCGAATCCTTCAAAAATCCTATAAAGATCCTTTGAATCAAAGAGACCCTGAATGTATGTTGCGGGGAACTTATAAATCACCTTACAAATTCCTGTTATGTTGTGCAGAAACTGAACAAGGAGTAGCACAGGCAATTATACGCTCTGTGGTAGATTTCAAAAGAGACCCGTGGCCCAGAGTATCTGAGCCTGCTAAAGATCTTGTCAGGCGGATGCTGGATCCAAATCCAATCACACGGCTTACTGCAGCACAAGTACTTGGTGAGCATTATGGTGTTTCCTTTTCCATTGCGTAATAACATACATAATGCTTTCTCACTCTCATTCGAATGGTGAATTGTGATTGTATCTTATGCGGTGATATGCCTGTTTTATGTCCTAGCCGTGAGCAGTTGATGAATATGAACTGACATGGTTATACCAATTGCATCTATCAGACAGTTCTCCTATTTCTTTTGTGACATTGTTGGTTGCATGTGCAGAACATCCATGGTTACACGATTCCAAAAAGAATCCTGACATTCAACTTGGCGACACTGTCCGAGCAAGACTGCAGCAATTTTCTGCAATGAACAAATTAAAGAAGAAAGCCTTAAGGGTAAGACTCATTACATGGTAGCTCCAAGTTCCAAGTACATCAGTGTCCTCACTGAACAAAAAATTTAATCAGAATTGATGTCATAAAATAAAAGTCACATTTCGAACGCTTCTCTAGTTAAACCAACTCATATGCTTTAACCCTTGCAGGTGATTGCAGAGCATTTGTCCTTAGAAGAAGTAGCTGACATAAAGAAAATGTTTGATAGCATGGACGTAAACAATAAGGGCCAACTAACCTTTGAGGAGTTCAAGGCTGGACTTCGTAAACTCGGAAACAAAATGCATGATTCAGATCTTCAGATGTTGATGGATGCTGTGAGTTACTGAACAAAAAATTCTACTACATATAAAAATATAGTCTGGTTTTTGAGAGGTCTAAAGGTAGTTACTTACATTTGCTTTTGCAGGCTGATGTTGATAAAAACGGCACCCTTGATTATGGGGAATTCGTTGCGGTGTCTATCCATGTGAGAAAAATAGGCAATGATGAGCATATCCAAAAGGCTTTCTCATACTTCGACCAAGATAAGAGTGGGTACATAGAGATTGAAGAGCTTAGAGTGGCTTTGACTGATGAGGTGGATGGAGCTTGCGATGAAGACATTATCAATGGCATCATTCATGATGTAGATACAGACAAGGTCAGCCCTCTCATACCTTCACAACTCACTAAACTGTACAACATCTTTCTCAGAAGTCAGAACATATGCTAATGACTTATCTACCACTGAAAACTGAAACCAACCTACTACTGAAAACTGATTTGAATATTAGTTTCTGGAATGGTTCCACATGCATGACCCACGCCGGCGGTCAGAATTCAAATGTTGCTGCAAGACTTGTTCTTTTAAAGGATTCCCTCTGGCTAACTAAAATATTGGCGGCTGCTATCATTGCATCTATAATAATATGTTATAGAATCAAAGTCATACCGGACAGTCAATGGTAGTACTGGACGCTATAAAATAAGCGACATACCTGCCAGACAAGGATAACGTTTAACCTAACAGGATTTGATATAAAGGAAATAACAGTTGAAAGTAGCAACATACTCCCTCCGTTCCTAAATAGAAGTCTTTCTTAGAGATCCCAATAAGGGAATACATACGGAGCAAAATGAGTGAATCTACACTCTAAATATGTCTATATACATCCGTATGTAGTTTGTATTGAAATATCTAAAAATACTTATATTTAGAAATGGAGGGAGTATATGACTTGTTCAACCTCCCCTAGGATCAAAGGCATACCAGACAGTCAAGAATAGTACAGTACTAGACATTGCAAAGTAAACGACTTACCAGCCAGACCAGGTCACAAGGATAATGATATGATGTAGCATACAATTTGCGGTTGAAAGCTGCAAGCTTGACTTGTTCAACCCCCTTAAATTCAACCTGACATCGATGTGCGTATCGTGATCTTTGGACATTACAGGACGGGAAGATAAGCTACGACGAGTTTGCGGCGATGATGAAGGCGGGGACGGACTGGAGGAAGGCATCCCGGCAGTACTCAAGGCAGAGGTTCAGCAACCTCAGCCTGAAGCTGCACAAGGATGGGTCCATCAGCGACGACCAGAAGTAGACCAAGCAGAGATGTAAGAAACAGAAGGGGTGCTCTGTTTCTCACACCGAGTGCTCTGTCGAGCAGAACCATTGATGGTGATCGCCCCGAGGCGCGGGCGGGGTATATATTGACCATGGAGTGTCATGTTGTTTCGCTGTGCCGGGGTTCTGTTGTCGGGGTTTTGTCGTCAGATTTCACCGGCTCATTTCTTTCTCCGGTTCTTTGTTTCTTTCACACGGTAAATGCAGCTACCACTCGATTCTTTGTTGTTTGTAAAGAAGATAGCTTGTAAGTAGTACAATCGTTTGCAGTGTAATGTAAAAAGGTAGCATGGGAAATGCTTAACAGAGGAGGAGTCTTGGCTTTTCACCTTTGCTGCCGAGTGCTGACGGTTTTGCTGAGTCGAACCGGCATTGTGGGACGCAGAGGTTCCGGTTTGTCAGACAACACGGCAAATAGATGCAAGTTTCTGCCGTGACAGGTTATTTGGTCGTGCGTGGGAATTCTTCAGAAACACAGTACAGAATTCATCATCACTGTGAGCACTTCAATCTGAATGAACATGTTCCCCTACATGGAGCCTAGCCATCTGGCCTATGCTTAGTTTGCAAAATAACCCTTCCTCATCATGCTAATACTGCAGATTGTTCTTGTATGCCCAATACCTTGCATAAGCAGTGATTTCAAATTCAGAAGTCAGGTTCTGACTGTTCCTGGCTTGCCTCCGATAACGCAATTCCGGGAGGAGTCGGTGGTTGGGCACTGGACCCCTTCGGACCTGGAGAACGTGTGATACTGAGTCGGGGTTTGGTGAACCAACAGGTCGCTCCTTTAGTTGAAGTATATAAGTGTCGGTCCTATGATCTGTACACAAGTAGGATCCCACAAGTTTATTTCTGTCTTTTTCATCCTAAATGGTTGCATCCCCTACTTGCAATTTTGTTGTTGGAAGCTAGTTCTGAGTATCTTCAATTCCTGCATGAAATTTAAACAACATCCAAACACACATATATTACATAGCATTAAGGCAGTTTCTGTTTCACATAGGAGGCACCACAGATAGAATTACACAGATAGTCCGACAATGTTTTCAAGTCACTAAAACTAAACCTGAACCTGAAACTTGGAAACACTGAACATAACTGACACTAACGATAACTGATGAAACTAAAACTTTCAGTTTCAGTCAGTTTCACTTAGGCACATGCCCTAGTAAGCGTCCTAAGCGTCGTACCTCTTGTTTGACTTGGGCAATATTTGGCAGCTCCTGAACATCTTCTTCGTCTTTGTCTTCGTCTTCATCGATGTCAATGATGGGAGGAGGACAGCGGCGAGGTTGCAGTGCTGGCAGGAGACGATCTGTAAGTCGTTGTCGTCGTCTTAGTGCAACTCTGCGTTAACTTCACTTGTAGCTTGTGCCAGAGCGACATAGCAACCTTCATGGACACTGCATCTACGAGCCCTTGGACGTTGGTGTATCTCATGACAACCTTCATATAGTCGAGGAAGAGATCTTGGTCGCCGCGCCTCGAACCAAGAAGCATGGCAACCCAGTTGGGAAACAACCACTTTATTTGTCCAATTTGATCTGCTTTATTTGTCGCCGCCATGTATCACATAGTTCTACTGGTACTTTTTCTACATATGATCTGCTTTATTTGTCCAATTTGCAATGTATTCTAATGTTCTTTTCATTTCCTATCAATTTGGTTCTCGGGCTTCACATAGCTCCACCATTACTTTCTCTACATCTGATCTGCTTTATTTGTTCAATTTGCAGCGTATCCTAATATACTTCTCATTTCCTATCGACTTCTATGTATTACCATGACTTATTTTTTCCGGTGGTTCTAATAGTTTGGACGGTAAGGCGTTGCCCTTTTCGTTTTGACTCGTTACCTTCAATTCTTAAGAATCTTGCCATCTGAATGATGCACCTTATCTTCAGATTGTTTCAATAGGATATGCAGAAAATTTGGGCATACCTGCAGCTTATGTCCCGCTTTCCGGAGGGCTTTATCTTCATTTGCTTTAGCTTTGTGATAGCGGCCTTGTTTTTTTTTGGACGCGTCTAGCCGGCGTCCAGCCACCCAGTATGATTAGCGAGCAACCGGTTATTTAAGGAATTTTTTTGTCCCTTCTCATAATTAGAAAATCTTTCTCGTCTAATCCATTTTCCCGCAACGTATTAAATAGCAACACAGCCATATCTTTCGGTGTATGCACTTTGTTCTCCTATGCATTTATCTGTGGTTTCAGAATTTTAAAAATACATAACTTTTAATCCGCACATCAGAATTGCGATCTGTTTTCACAGTTGGAATCTTCGCGACGTGCTCTTCAAAACTAGATCCCGCATGGGTATGTTTCAACGAACTAGTCTTTCTGCCAACTAAACATCAATATGTGTGCAACTAGACTACATGTCGTGCCAACTGAGCATATGTGTGTGTCAATAGTATTTCTGTCAACTAAACATCAATGTGTGTGCAACTAGACTACATTCCCTTGCCAACTGAGTATATGTGTGTGCCAATAGTCCTGCCAACTAAACATCAATGTGTGTGCAACTAGACTATATTGCCGCGCCAACTGAGCATATATGTGTGTAACTAGTCCTGTCAACTAAATATCAATGTGTGTGCAACTAGGCTACATTGCGGCGTCAATTACGCATATGTGTGTGCAACTAGTGTCCTGCCAACTAAACATCAATATGTGTGCAATTAGACTAAATTACAAACCAACTGAGCATATGTGTGTGCAACTAGTTCTGCTGGCAACTAAACATTAATGTGTGTGCAACTAGACTATATTATAAGCCAATTAAAACATCAATGTGTGTACAATTAGAATAAATTACAAGCCAACTGATTTTAAAAAAAGTTGCACCATGTAGTGCTAAAGTTGCACAATGCAGTATTTTAGTTGCACAATATAGCACCAAAGTTGGCATCAAAATTTTTTTGTCGAAACATATCCATGCGGATCTAGTTTCAAAGATCTCGCCGCGATGAATCCAACGATGAAAACATGACTGAATTCTGACGTGTGGTTTAAAAGATACGGTTTTAAAAGAATTTGAAATCCCGAAATAAAAGTATATGGATCTGTTTCTCTAATTGATGGGACTAGTGTGAACACATTTAATGCCACCACCAACATGCACTATGAGACAAAAAAAATACACATGCATGTGTGTGACAGAGTGGCCGCTCGAGATGTCCAAATAGCGCGCGCACTTTTTAGTTTTTAGGTTTTTTTCTTTTATAAACCTCCCAAATTCAGATGTCTTTGCTATTGTTCTCGGGTTCCTCTCTAGTGAGCAAAACCTATATTTTCCTACTTTTGAGTTTTTTATATGCACCAAACACTAAGCGGGTGGTTATTTTTTCAGTATGCCTCTTTTAAGGTGTCCGTTAGAGTTGCGCTTAGTACGTTCATAACGTACCTTATCTTTATATAGAAAGGAGGCAAAAGAAAACAGTAAAACGGCGGTTATTTTTTCAGTATGTCTGTTCTAAGAGTAGAAAATGTTTGCATCATAGGTGCAGTATATACAACTAGCAAACGCACGTGGAACCACATAGTACATCGGCAGAATCAGGTCTCTGAAATTTTCTGTATCTGAAGATAATTAAGACTGAAGGTTTGCTTCCATTCCATGGAAGAAAAAAACCTTCCTACCTAGCAAAGTTTGGTCCAGAGAGCACGCTCGAAGAACTGCTCCCGCGCCAGCGCGCGCACGCTCCGGAGGTAGCCGCTGAACGGCACGGTCCCGTGCTGCACCGCCTCGTCCAGCGCGTACATGGTGTCCTCCAGCGCCAGATCCATGGCCGCGCACTCGAGCCGCTGCACCGAGAGCGCGTCCGCGGGCTGAACTGCCGCCCCCGCCTGCGCGTCGCCGTGCGCGGCCACCGTCGTCCGGTTCGCCGCGACCCAGGCCTCCAGGGCGTACGCGGCCACCGTCACGTCCTGCAGCCGGCGCTCCAGCGCGTCCACCTCCTCCCCGGCCCGGCGCACCAGGCCGTCCGCCGCCTTGCCCCGCCCGCGCAGCTCGGCCTGCACGGCGAACAGCGCTTCGACCTCGGCCTCGCTCGCGGCGTGCAGGGCGGCCACGTCGGCGCAGGCCATGGCGGCGAGGGCGTCGCGCCTGTAGGCGACCTCGGCGGGGAGGAGGGGCGGGTCGATGCCGAAGGCGTGGGAGAGGGACCGGACGAGGTCCCGCAGGTTGGAAGACGGGAACGCCCAGGAGCGGAGATACGGGGCGTCGGCGGCGGCGACGAGGCCCGAACGGTCGACGAGGGGGTGGTCGGTTCTGAGGACCGTGCCGCGGGCCGGCGAGAGGAAGACGAGGGGCGGGCACCGCGGGTAGCGCTCCGGTAGCCAGACGACGGCGGGGAGGTCATAGGAGCCCCCCGCGTGGGCGATCGGGATGGTGCCGGCGGCCTGGAGCAGGCGCGCGGCGCGGCCGTCGTCGTGGGTGAAGAGGGCGGTCCTGGGGCGGAGCGAGGGGAAGGCCTCGGCGAGCGTGGCGAGGTGGTCGGGGACGAGCCACTTGACGTCGTCGGCGTAGGGCAGCGCCGTGTCGGGGAACTGGTGCTGCGCGCCGCTCGCCGGCGGCGCGGGAGGAGCCATCGATCACAGCACAGGAATAGATGGATGGATCGCAACGGCGCAGCCGGCACGTACGTACGGTTTCTTATTGGAAAATTGTGTTTGGTTTGTTCTCCAGGTAGGCCGCGTTGGGGGGGAAGAAGTCAGGATTCGGAAAACTACCGACACGTAGAACGCGACACCGAGAGCGGCAGGCGTGCGGGGCGTAACCTCACAATTCCGCCAACTGTTCAACGACATTGCTATTGCTAATCAACAATTGCAACAAGTCATATCCAGAACGCGACGCTCAAACATGTCGATCTGTTGAATGCAAGATTTTACAAGAAAAGTTTCTTCCTCCACCTGGCAAAGCATTATAGCAGGGTTTATTCCCTCGATCACGGTCCTATCAATATGAATTGTCATGAATGTATAGGAAACCAGTTTAGCTGCACGCCTGAAAATTAAACTAGGGCTAGTCGATTTCTATTTGGGAAGAAAGAGGTGCGGGAGGTGCAGGTGCAACAGTCGCCGGCTCACCGAGAAGCAGCCGACCTCTGGGTCTATCTTAGGGGTGCCGGGGGTGCTTGCTCTCTGAACAAATAGGCAAGTTCGCCGGCACGCAAGCCGAGGTCGCCGTCGTCACCATGGAGGACGTGGCGGAGGACAAGATGGCGCCACCCTCGCCGGTGCATTGCAGCATGATCATCAGTGAGGCCCATGCCCATTACATGGACACGGTGCGGGAGAAGCGGGGAGCAGCAGTTCCGTGAGGCGCAGGTCGACAACCTCCGGCTCCTCGAAGAGCATTAGCAGGCGGAGGAGCAGCTCGCCGCCAGCAGGGTGATCGCGCCGAACGTGGACATGGCGGGGCATGCGAGGCTGCTCGAGTCCCACCGCTCCCCCCGCGAGATCTGCCTCGCTCGCTGGCGTTATTGCCGGCATTAGGCGGAACTTAAGGCCATCTACAAGGAGTTCGACGAGGCTGCAGACGAGGTGTGGGGCAAGAGTGATGACGGGGAGGACATGCCCGACCCCGCCAAGGCCGCGCCCCGTCGCCACGACCACGAAGCCAACATGTCTACGGGCACCGCCTGCAGCGAGGAAGAGTAGTGCATGGTAGGTCACCGCCGTATGGGTCCCAAGAAGGCCACCGCTCCTCCCCTCCTGTTGAAACCAAGCTTGGTGGGCTGAACATCGACGACCGATTAGTCGCTTGGCGGCGACGTGGAGGTGGACATCTTCACTTTCCGGGGCTCCGGAGATGGAGGTTATGAAGGCGGAGTTGGAGTGCGCCGTGGTGGACCTAGAGAAGGTGAAGGCAATAGCCGGAGCTTCTGTTCTCGAGGCTCATGACCGGGCATGGGGGAAGGGCGCCGACGATCATTTATATTAGATTTAGAGTAGGTTTTAGTCCGGTTTGTATAAAATTTAAAAAGTAATGATTTTCGTCCGGTTTATATAAAAAATGCTCAGAATGTAATGAAAATTTTGTTCGGTTTATATGAATTCCGCCATGTTTCCATGAATTTCGTTCGGTTAGTTCAAATAGTCGTTGAAATGTATGCGGACAGCATAGGACGGCGTCCTCCGAAATCAGTGTCGCGGATTGATCTCCCCTGTCTGCGGACGGGTGTGAGAGCAAATTTACGGATCGGCGTTGAAAATGCCCTCATGTTACAAAACTAAACATGGCTTGTTCTTCAGGTTTGCCGCGTTGAGGGATGTCTTCACATCCTTGCTCGGCACGTCATAGTCCGAGCTAGCTTGCATCAAGATTCAAACTTTTAACAGTTGAAAACGAAAACTGCCGACAGCTAGAACGTGACACTGAAAGCGGCCGGCGTGCAGAGTTTAACCTCGCAATTCCACCAGCTTTTCAACGACACTGCTACTAATCAACGACTGATCAACCATCTAAAGCGGCCGACTAATCAACGAAATTTGGAACGAGTCATATCCAGAAGGCTGCAACCTCAAAGTCATCACGGTACCGCGACACCTTGTAAGTGCGGGCGTACCGGCGGTCCGCGCTCGTGACGAGCTCCCCGTCGTCGCCGTACTTGACTTGAAACGTGGTCACCACTAGCAGACACTCGTCGCCGTCGGGCAGGCTCTCCTTCTCGTCGGTCCCCTCGCGTCGCAGGCGCTCGACGAGGCAGTGCTGGCCGCGCTCGGCCATGTGCACGAGCTTGGCGTCGACGTGCCTCCAGTCCGGGTGCTCGAGGATCACCTTCTCCCCGCCGATCTTCCACTGCGGTTGCGGGGTCCGGTCGAGGTCGCTCGTCGGAACTGGAACGCGGCAGACACAGAGGTGCCCGTCCGTGTCGTAGCCCTTACGGTGGAGCCCGACCCAGGCGTCCAGCTCGGCGTCGTAGCCGGCGCGGCCTACGAACGGCAACGCCCAGCCGCCGCAGCGCGTCCAGTCGTCTCTCGCCGTGTCGTAGGAGAAGGTCCGGACGTCGTTGTGAAACGCGCTTGCGGACACGAAGATGGCGCGCCCGGCCTCCGCGTGCGCCACCATCGCCTCGGGGAAGAAGGGGGGCGACTCAGGGTCGGCGCTCCAGAAGCACCGCGAGGAGCCGGAGAAAGGCAGCCAGCACCACCGGCTCTCGTCGGCGTCCCTGCCGCGGTCCGTGGTCATGCAGTGCATGCCTCCCGGGCAGGGCCGAAGGGGCTCGATCTCCCAGCCGCGTTCGTCGTGCAGCTCCGTCACGTCCTCGAACGCGTACAGCCTGCCCCCGGCGGCCACGGCCTCGCGGAAGCCGTCGCGCAGGCCTTTGGGGACGTTGCACGCGACCGAGAGCGCCGCCGTGTCGGTGTCGTAGACCAAGGTGACGCCGTAGTGCTCTTCCCTTAGGCCGTAAGTGTTTGGGCTGGAGCCCGTGGTGATGATGCAGCTGCCCAGGGCGGCGAACCGTGCGGCTAGATCTTCTATGGCGGTTGGCACTTCCACGCGGATGACGGCGGGATCGGGAAGACGGCGGGCAGAGTCAGGGTCGGAGCCGACGTCGTGGTCGCCGTCCAGATCGCCGCCGACGTCCAGCTTGTAGATGCCGTACTCGTGCTTGTGGTCATCCAGCACCACGTACAGATGCCGCCTCGTCGTCGTCGTCGCCGCGGCCGGGTGATGCGGATCCCTGTTGGCGGCGTCCGAGACGTGCCTCCGTGGTGATGCGGTCAGATGGTTCTTGCCATGAACCGTCGTCCTCTGGTTTGCGTCCTGACGGTGGATAGCTGGTCGGAGGGTACGAGGGATGCTCAGGGGGTTGGGTCGACGGAGAAACGATCGGCACGCCCACATCGCGTCAGGTGCCGCCGTCGGGGAAATCGATTGGGGATGGGGTTCTGCTCAGATCGATTGGGGATGGGGTCTTGGGCACAGCGCGCCGGTCGAGTCGCCTTTGGTCCACATTATAGCCCTCAATGTTTTTTATATTTTTGCGGAAAATTATAGCCCTCAACTTGACACTCAGTTTAAGATTCAACCTCCAACTTCAAAACCGGTCGCCTCACACCCTTAACTTGCCATCCGGTTCTAGCTCTTTCCTAGCACGCCCTCGTTCTTCTACTACGAATCCATTGTCTAGGGAGCCTAACAGGGAAGACGGAGAAAGTGGTGGCCAGACCGCTCGATGCAAAACTAGCAAGGTGGAGCCACCCCATAACAAAAGCACGAAGCAGAAAACCAGTTCTCCCCTCCCTCTCAATGAAATAACCCAGATGTGAGAGAGGTCCTATTCCGTGCACACCGCGTCGAAGGAGGACCAAATGCGCACGCCCTATGCTCACTTTGGTTGGCTGGCTAGTTGCCCTATTGGGCCTAGGCCCATGTGAAGAAGTCGAGGAAAAAAGCAAAGAGAAAGGAACATTAAAAAAAGATAGAGAGAATATTTAAGATGTGCCAAACTATAAAAAAAGTTAACGAACTAAAAATATATAAAAATGTTTGTGAATTTGAAGTATGTTTATGGATTTGAAGAAAATGTTCACAGATAATGTTTGTGAATTTCGAAAATTCAAAAATGTTCTCGAACTTGAAAAATGTTCATGAGTTTATAAAATATTACTGGATTCCAAAAGAAGCTCCAAATTCTAGAAATATTCATGAATGTAAATGTTCAAAATTTAAAGATTTATCTACAAATCAGTGTAAGAGTGCTATGTTTGCCCGCTCCCGAGTCGTCCCCCGCGTGGCGGCTGGGAGGCCCCCAGATCCTGTCGGCCCGCCTCCCCCTCTTCTCGTCCTCCTCCCTCGTTGCCGCCCGATGGCGCTGCCAAGCGAAGCCTTGCCGTCGAAGGTGGCAGTGGGGACTCGGGACCCTCCAGCTCGTGAGGGGCTGCGCGCGGGCCGACGCCCTGGGGCTGGAGTGTGGCGTGCGGCCGGGCGTCACGATGGGTGGTGGCGAGGCTTCGGCGATCCCGTACCTCCGCGGCAGGCGGCTTCAAGGTCTGGGGCGTAGCGGTCGCCAGGGACGGCGGCGGCGCGGCCGGATCTGGGCCCAGGCGTGGGCTTGATCTTCGGGTCGCGGTGGGCACGGTGGCGGGTGCGACACGTCGACAATTGGGTGGATCTGCGGGATTCCACCCTTGTTTAGTCCTTGACAGCGCAGGCAAATCCAGGGGAAACCCTAGACCTCTTTGGGATTGAGCGCTGGCGGTGCTTTTACGTCGTAGTCCCTCTTTAGGGCATCATTTTGGAGTTTCTTCGGTTGAAGGGACCAACGTCGTCGGTGGCACACGCCTGGTGGCGCAACTGCCGATGAAAATTGCGCTGACTACGGTCATTACGGACGATGGCAGCGTCTTTGATGTCGTTTCCTTGTCAAGCATCGTCGTTGCAGTTTGCGTCATCAGGCTCAGAGATGCTGGGGGGGGGACCCTAGATCTAGGTCTCCCGGATAGAACGATGGTGGCATTCTTGTTGGGGAATGTAGCAATAATTCAAAATTTTCCTACGTGTCACCAAGATCAATCTATGGAGTCATCTAGCAACGAGGGAGGAGTGGATCTACATACCCTTGTAGATCGCGCGCGGAAGCGTTCAAGAGAACGGGGTTGATGGAGTCGTACTCGTCGTGATCCAAATCACCGATGATCCTAGCGCCGAACGGACGGCACCTCCGCGTTCAACACACGTACGGAGCAGCAACGTCTCCTCCTTCTTGATCCAGCAAGGGGGGGAGGAGAGGTTTATAGAGATCCAGCAGCATGACGGCGTGGTGGTGGAAGTAGCGGGATTCCAATAGGGCTTCGCCAAGCGCTGCGGGAGGAGGGAGATGTGTCATGGGAGGGAGAGGGAGGCGCCAGGGCTTCGGTATGGTTGCCCTCCCTTCCCCCCACTATATATAGGGCCAAGGGAGAGGGAGGGCGCAGCCTTGGCCCTTCCTCCAAGGAAGGGTGCGGCCAAGGGAGGAGTCCATCCCCCCCCAAGGCACCTAGGAGGTGCCTTCCCCTTTTAGGACTCTTCCTTTCTTGCTCTCTTGGCGCATGGGCCTCTTGGGTCTGGTGCCCTTGGCCCATATAGGCCAAGGCGCACATCCCTACAGCCCGTGTGGCCCCCCGAGGCAGGTGGCCCCACCCGGTGGACCTCCGGGACCCTTCCGGTGGTCCCGGTACAATACCGGTGACCCCGAAACTTGTCCCGATGGCCGAAATAGCACTTCCTATATATAATTCTTTACCTCCGGACCATTCCGAAAATCCTCGTGACATCCGGGATCTCATCCGGGACTCCGAACAACTTTCGGGTTACCGCATACTAATATCTCTATAACCCTAGCGTCACCGAACCTTAAGTGTGTAGACCCTACGGGTTCGGGAGACATGCAGACATGACCGAGATGACTCTCCGGTCAATAACCAACATCGGGATCTGGATACCCATGTTGGCTCCCACATGTTCCACGATGATCTCATCGGATGAACCACGATGTCAAGGACTTAATCAATCCCGTATACAATTCCTTTTGTCTATCGGTACGATACTTGCCCGAGATTCGATCGTCGGTATCCCGATACCTTGTTCAATCTCGTTACCGGCAAGTCTCTTTACTCGTTTCGTAACACATCATCCCGTGATCAACTCCTTGATCACATTGTGCACATTATGATGATGTCCTACCGAGTGGGCCCAGAGATACCTCTCCGTTTACACGGAGTGACAAATCCCAGTCTCGATTCGTGCCAACCCAACAGACACTTTCGGAGATACCTGTAGTGTACCTTTATAGCCACCCAGTTACGTTGTGACATTTGGCACACCCAAAGCACTCCTACGGTATCCGGGAGTTGCACAATCTCATGGTCTAAGGAAATGATACTTGACATTTAGAAAAGCTTTAGCATACAAACTACATGATCTTGTGCTAGGCTTAGGATTGGGTCTTGTCCATCACATCATTCTCCTAATGATGTGATCCCGTTATCAACGACATCCAATGTCCATGGTCAGGAAACCGTAACCATCTATTGATCAAGGAGCTAGTCAACTAGAGGCTTACTAGGGACATGGTGTTGTCTATGTATCCACACATGTATCTGAGTTTCCTATCAATACAATTCTAGCATGGATAACAAATGATTATCATGAACAAGGAAATATTATAATAACTAATTTATTATTGCCTCTAGGGCATATTTCCAACAGTCTCCCACTTGCACTAGAGTCAATAATCCAGTTCACATCGATATGTGCTTAACATTCAAGGTCACATCCCCATGTGACCAACACCCAAAGAGTTTACTAGAGTCAATAATCTAGTTCACATTACCATGTGATTAACACTCGATGAGTTCTGGGTTTGATCATGTTATGCTTGTGAGAGATGTTATAGTCAACGGGTCTGAATCTTTCAGATCCGTATATACTTCGCAAATCTCTATGTCATCTTGTAGATGCAGCTACTACGCTATATTTGGAGCCATTTCAAATAACTGTTCTACTTGGAGCTATTCTAAATTGTTGCTCCATTATACGTATCCGGCATCTCTACTCAGAGCTATCCGGATAGGTGTTAAGCTTGCATCGACGTAACTCTTTACGTCGAACTCTTTATCACCTCCATAACCGAGAAACATATCCTTATTCCTCTAAGGATAATTTAGACCGCTATCTGGTGATCTACTCCTAGATTACCTTTGTACCCTCTTGCCAGACATGTGGCAAGGCACACATCAGGTGCGGTACTTAGCATGGCATACCGTATAGAGCCTATGACAAAAGCATAGGGGACGACCTTCGTGCTTTCTCTTTCTTCTGCCGTGGTCGAGCTTTAAGTCTTAACGTCATACCTTACAACTCAGGCAAGAACTCCTTCTTTGACTGGTCCATCTTGAACACCTTCAAGATCATGTCAAGGTATGTGCTCATTTGAAAGTACCATTAAGCGTTTTGATCTATCCTTATAGATCTTGATGCTCAATGTTCAAGTAGCTTAATCCAGGCTTTCCATTGAAAAACACTTTCCAAATAACCCTATATGCTTTCCAAAAATTCTACGTCATTTCTGATCAATAATATGTCAACAACATATATTCATCAGAAATTCTATAGTGCTCCCACTCACTTCTTTGGAAATACAAGTTTCTCATAAACTTTGTATACACACAAAATTTTTGATCATCTCATCAAAGCATACATTCCAACTCCGAGATGCTTACTCCAGTCCTTAGAAGGATTGTTGGAGCTTTGCATACTTATTAGCATCTTTCAGGATTAACAAAACCTTCCGGTTGTATTACATACAACCTTTCCTCAAGAAAATCGTCGAGGAAACAATATTTTGACATCCTATCTGCAAGATTTCATAAATAATGCAGTAATCGCTAATATAATTCCAACAGACTCTTAGCATCGCTACGAGTGAGAAAGTCTCATCGTAGTCAACTCCTTGAACTTGTCGGAAAACATCTTAACGACAAGTCGAGCTTTCTTAATGGTGACATTTACCATCATTGTCCGTCTTCCTTTTAAAATCCATCTGCACTCAACAGCCTTACGACCATCGAGTTGTTCTGCCAAAGTCTACACTTTGTTTTCATACATGGATCCTCTCTCAGATTTTATGGCCTCGAGCCATTTATCGGAATCCGGGCCCACCATCGCTTCTCCATAGCTCATAGGTTCATTGTTGTCTAGCAACATGACTTCCAAGACAGGATTACGTACCACTCTGAAGTAGTACACATCCTTGTCATCCCACGAGGTTTGGTAGTGACTTGATCTGAAGTTTCATGATCACTATCATAAGCTTCCACTTCAATTGGTGTAGGTGCCACAGGAACAACTTCCTGTGCCCTGCC